CCACAAAGCTTTGAGAGGCATTAAGAAGCTTTGTTAGTGTTTTTGGAGTCAAATATGACTAGAACTTGTGTGTATAATTGGGTATAAGAACTAGAACCGCAACCGGATCCCGTAAGCTAAAGTAGTGTTTTTCCGTTTAGAAGCTCCAAAACCGAAAACTCATAGGACTTCGGCCATACCCACAAATCTTTGAGAGGCAATAAGAAGCTTAGTTAGTGTTTTTACAGTCAAATATGACTAGATAACGTGTGTATGATTGGGTATAAGAACTAGAACCGCAACCGGATCCCGTAAGCTAAAGTAGTGTTTCTTCGTTTAGAAGCTCCAAAACAGAAAACTCATAGGACTTCGGCCATACCCACAAAGCTTTGAGAGGCATTAAGAAGCTTGGTTAGTGTGTTTTGAGTCAAATATGACTAGAACTTGTGTGTATAATTGGGTATAGAACTAGAACCGCAACCGGATCCCGCAAGCTAAAGTAGTGTTTTTCCGTTTTGAAGCTCCAAAACCGAAAACTCATAGGACTTCGGCCACACACACAAAGCTTTGAGAGGGAATAAGCAGCTTGGTTAGTGTTTTTTGAGTCAAGTATGACTAGATAACGTGTGTATGATTGGGTATAACCGCAACCGGATCCCGTAAGCTAAAGTAGTGTTTTTCCGTTTAGAAGCTCCAAAACCAAAAACTCATAGGACTTCGGCCACACCCACAAAGCTTTGAGAGGCATTAAGAAGCTTTGTTAGTGTTTTTGGAGTGAAATATGACTAGATAACGTTTGTATGATTGGGTATAAGAAATAGAACCGCAACCGGATCCCGTAAGCTAAAGTAATGTTTTTCTGTTTAGAAGCTCCAAAACTGAAAACTCATAAGACTTCGGCCACACCCACAAAGCTTTCAGAGGCATTAAGATGCTTGGTTAGTGTTTTTGGAGTCAAATATGACTAGATCTCGTGTCTATGATAGGGTATAAGAACTAGAACCGCAACCGGATCCCATAAGCTAAAGTAGTGTTTTTCCGTTTAGAAGCTCCAAAACCGAAAACTCATAGGACTTCGGCCACACCCACAAAGCTTTGAGAGGCAATAAGAAGCTTAGTTAGTGTTTTTGCAGTCAAATACGACTAGATAACGTGTGTATGATTGGGTATAAGCACTAGAACCGCAACCGGATCCCGTAAGCTAAAGTAGTGTTTCTTCGTTTAGAAGCTCCAAAACAGAAAACTCATAGGACTTCGGCCACACCCACAAAGCTTTGAGAGGTATTAAGAAGCTTGGTTAGTGCGTTTTGAGTCAAATATGACTAGATCTTGTGTGTATAATTGGGTATAAGAACTAGAACCGCAACCGGATCCCACAAGCTAAAGTAGTGTTTTTCCGTTTCGAAGCTCCAAAACCGAAAACTCATAGGACTTCGGCCACACACACAAAGCTTTGAGAGGGAGTAAGCATCTTGGTTAGTGTTTTTGGAGTCAAGTATGGACTAGATAACGTGTGTATGATTGGGTATAAGAATTAGAACTGCAACCGGATCTCGTAAGCTAAAGTAGTGTTTTTCCATTTGGATCGGATGAGGTCGAGTTTTGGGATAGGTTTTCCGTGTTATTTTCACGGAGGTTTGCGATTTGGATTCTCAAAGGGAGATCCGTCGAGAGACGTTGCGCCAGGTCGATGACGCTGGAGGTCTAAGCCGAGGAGCCAGATCTCGTGGAATCGATGGATTTGGAATCCATTTTCGTTGTTTTGCAACGGAGGTGTTAGCTTCAGAGTCAGAAAATCTATTTCTTCCCCACAGATGGCGCCAAAATTTGGGTGATAAAATCCACACTAGAAATTTGTTCTTAGATTTATGGGTAAAGAGGGTTGGATTTTCAATGATGCATTGAGAGTTGAATTACTAAAGAACGAAAGGATTTATTGATGTGAATCAACAGTTTACAACAAAGACTATGAGAATACAAGTGCTTGTAAGTATAAGGTTTAATAGTAGGTAGGCGATGATCCTCTCCAAGTCGTCCATGCTTCTCTTATATAGATCTTCGGGTTAGGTCAACTGCTCCCGAGATCCTTGCTGATATCTCCTAAAATCCAGGTCCTGCTCCGCATATATAGCTGACCTAGTCAATCTTCTCTATCAAGTCGCAGCTTCCTTCCTCTTGGGCCGCAGAGCTGGGCTTCTTTATTATAAGGCCCAAAGATATTTTTGCTTGAGGATTTTGAAGTGCAAAATCCAGGTCCAACAGCGGTTCTTTGTCTTCTGGTTTTGCCAGTATGGGAGGTTCGGTTAGATAGGTTTTCAATTATATGAAAGCCTATTCTCATTTGTCGTCCCACTCGAATTTGCAATCTTTTCGCAGTAGTTGGTAGAATTAGAGACATTTGTCGCTGGATCGGGATATGAATCTGTTGAGAGCGGCGATTATGTCGGTCAGTCGTTGGACCTCGAGTGTTGTCTTTGGTGACGGCATCTCGAGGAATGTTGATATTTGTTTAGGGTTAGCTTCGATGCCCCTTTCGGTGACTATGTAGCCGAGGAATTCTCCCGAGGGAACTCCGAAAAAGCATTTTCTCGGGGTTTAATCTTATCCCGAGTTTGTTGAGTATTTCAAAACATGCTCTTAATTAGGGGACATGGTCTTTTTCTTGAGCCGATTTGACTAGCATATCATGATGTAGACCTCCATACTTTTGCCTAACTGATAGGCGAACATTCTGTTTACCAGTCGTTGGTAGAACCTCGGTCTATTATGAAGGCTCTTTTTTTTCTGATTGTCTGGACGCATGAGTATTTGATTATACCCGGAAAATGCGTCCATGAAGGACAGCAGTTGATGTCCCGCGGTGGCTTTGACTAGTCGGTCTATGTGCGGGAGTGGAAAGCTGTCTTTGGGACATGCTTTGTTTAGGTCGGTGAAGTCGATACATACTCTCCACTTTTCGTTTTTCTTTTTACCACGACGGGGTTAGCAAGCCAATCAGGGTATTTTACTTCTCTTATCGACCCTATTTTCAGTAGCCGATCTACTTCTTCGTTCACGGCCTTGGCCCTTTCGAGACCCAATTTGCGGCGTTTATGTTTTATGGGTCGGAAATTTGGGTCAACGTTGAGCTCATCCAATGCCCACGTAACTCTTGGGATTCGTTTTGTCGATGCAGATTTGGTTAAGTAATGCTTTGCGAGGGACCTCGTTGGGTCGGGTCGGAGGATCTGGCGGCTTGCTTTTCGGTGAGCATGTCCGCTATCATTTATTGCTAGGGGACAGCTTTCTTAATTTGTTCGTAACCTCCCATGTAATCTGGCTACCGTACACGGTTGCCACTCCTCTGTTAGAGAGGAATTTTACGAATTGATGGTAGGTTGACGAGACAGCTTTCATGGCGTGCAGCCAAGGTCGTCCAAGTATCGCGTTGAAGAGAGCAATTTTATCGACTACGATGAAGTTCGTAAGTTTTCTTACTCCTCTAGCGACGGTGGGGAGCTAGATTGTTCCCAACAAAAAGGTCGTTTCTTAGAAGAATCCGGTTACCGGTGTTTTCTTGCCTTGCAGCTCGGAGTCATGGTGTCCCATTTTCTTGAAGGCGTCGTAAAAGAGCACGTCAGCCGAGATTTCGGTATCAACCATGATTTGTGACAGTTCACAGTTGCCAACGTCGATTCGGATGTCCAGGGCGTCATCGTAAGGTTTGTCGAGTTTGGTGGTTTAGTTTTCCCAGAAGGTGATTTGGTGGTCAGGTCCATGCATAGGGTTTTTCCCAGTTGCGTTGGATTCCACTTTCCTTTGGTGCATTTTGATTGAATTTACCGAATCACGTCAGAGCTGTGAACCTCCCATAATGAAGTCTATCCACTTCGGGGAGTGCTGTTCTGCGACGCTCCTGCAAAATTTGTGGAGTCGTAGGGGAAAAAGTGTCGTTTTCTTTTTGGGAGCTGGGGGTGGACTAGGAGCTGGCTGGTCCGATCCTTTCGAAAGGAATAGATCGGTAAAGACGAGGTCTATGCGTTGTTTGGACCTGGAGGGGTGAATCGCCGCTCTCTGGTGTTTGTTCCTTTTTGGAGGACGCTTTGCGTTTTGGGGTTTGTTCCTCCTGCTCGTCGAGTGTTGGTGCAGGGACCTCTTCGACGGTGGGGGCTTTTTTAGAGTTGTCCCCAGCGGCTATTATTTGTGATAATGTTCGACACTCTTATGTACAGTGTCCTTTCTTTTTATGGTATTTGCAATATTTTTCGGGGTTAGGGGCTGGGCTCTCGTCGTCCTCGGCCTGGTTATCGATTGCAAATAGTGTGTGTTGACCTTGGGTCTGGGGTTGGTTTTCCTTTTTAAAGGTTTTTTTGGTGTTAAACTAGGTACTTTGCCCTTTAGACTCTCTGTATTTGAGAGATATGTATGCGGTTTCTTCCTCAGCTCGTGCAAAATGGAGAGCCTTATGGAGGGCATCATCCAAGGTAGCTGGCTGCCAGACCGTGAGTTCCTCACTGAATCTCGAGGAGAACCATAAGCCTTGCGGAGGGCTGCTAGGGCAACCTCTTCATTTAGATTGGCAATCTTTGATTTGGTTGTTTTGAACTTTTCGATGTAGGATCGCAGAGGTTCATTCTGGAGCTGAGTTAGGTTCCATAAGTCAACTTTGGATGTTCTGTTTACGATCAATACCGAGTACTGTTTGAGAAACGCAGCTGCGAGTTGGTCGAAGTTATCGATAGAATTTCCTTCGAGGCTTGCGAACCATTCTAGGGCACGACCTACGAGGTTTTCTGCGAAGAAACGGTAATGTCCCGCTTCGCTCTCCTCGTCGGTTAGGTATGCTCTTGTTATGGCTAGGCGAAAAGCCCTCAGGTGAGCTTTTGGATCGGTCGTGCCGTCATATTCTGGAAAGCGGAGCTTCTCGACATCGCGTATGCGGAAATGAGCAATTCTATCCGTAAACTGAGTTCGTCTCGTTTCCTCTATTACTTGATCTATGTCAGGAGCGTAGCTCACCCCCGTGTGCACCTTAGAATGCATCTGGGCCATATTGGCATTGGTCTATGCAGCGTAGTTGCGGAAATTTTCCATATCAACGATACTCCTCAGATCTATCGCGCGTTGTTGAACGGCATTTGGGGGTTCACGGAACCGTTTTGACGATTTCCAGTCGAGGTCCGTGCTATGGTATCCCATTGGAGTTCGTAACTGTGGTAGGTTCCCGGGGATATGAGAACTTGATGCAGGTGTCTGGTTTCGTATCCACGTATACCTGGGTGGCGAGTAGCCTCGTGGTAGGAGCGGTGATGATGGTAACCTGGGGAAAGTTGGTGTGACTCGCGCCTCTGTTTCCGCGGATGGGTTTCCCAAGGAAGAGGTTATAGGTGCGGGTAGATCGATTATAGGTGCGAATGCTACCTGTCGGTTTACGCGAGGAGTTAACTCTATTCCCGTAAAATCGAGATGAGTTCGGGGGGTCGACTCCGAAGGGGGGTTTGTACCGCTAGGGCGGATGGAGGTCGACGCGGGATCTGGGTTCTCTGGGGGGAAGTCTCCCTGTTTCAGGTAATGCGTTGATGAGCTCGCGCTCTTGCTGTTCCATCCGCGCAACTAGGCTTCGGTTTATGATTTCCTGTGTTTGGCTTTTTTCAACCAAGGTGAGGATCATCTTGCGGAATTTGGCCAACTCGTCGGCAGATCTCCTGGCGATTTGCTCAGTGATGCCGATTTGATTGTGCGAGGGCAGGTCGATCCGGCTGGGAGATCGCGATGTACTGCGATCTCCTCCTCCTTCGATCTGTGCCGGAGGAGGAGGTTGTTCAGAGTCGGATGAGGTCGAGTTTTGGGGTAGGTTCTCCGTGTTGATCTCACGGGAGTTTGCGGTTTGGATTCCCGAAGGGAGATACGTTGGGAGGCATTGCTCTAGGTCGATGACGTTTGAGACCGGTGCTGAGGAGCCGGATCTCGTGGAATCGGAGGACATGGGATCCATTTTCGTTGTTTCGCAACGGAGGCGTTAGCTTCGGTGTCAGAAGAATCTATTTCTTCCCCACAGACGGCGCCAAAATGTGGGTGCTGAAATCCACACTAGAAATTTGTTCTTAAATTTATGGGTAAAGAGGGCTAGATTTTCAATGATGCTTTGAGAGTTGAATTGCTAAAGAACGAAAGGATTTTATTGATCGGAATCAAAGGTTTACAATGAAAAGTATGAGAATACAGGTGCTTGTAAGTATTAGGTTTAGTCGTTAGTCGGTGATGGTCACTCCAAGTCGTCCTCCTTCTCCTTATAGAGGTCTTCGAATTAGGTTAGCTGCTTCCGAGATCCCCGCTGATATCTCCTAAAAATCAAGTCAGTTCCAAAATTGTAGCTGACTTGGTCAATTGCTCTCATCAGGTCGCAGTATTCTCCCTACAGACTGTCGGGCTGAGCCTGTTGTGTAAAATCCATGAATATTTTTGCTGGTGGATTTCGAGGTGCGAAATCCAGGTCCAACAGTATTTTTGGATTTATTTTTACAAAATTGCTTGTAAAATCGTTAAGTGTGAATTTTTTTTTTGAAATATTAAGAATTAAAAAAAATTAATTAGTTAGTATATTTTTTGGATAATCAAGATACCACTTGTATAGTTTTCCGGAAAACGGAAAATACTTAGTCATTTATCGGTGACTTGGAAAAATGTTTTTAAAATTTTTATCGACAAAAATAAGAATGGATTAAGAAAAAATCCAAGAAAAAATCCACCAAAGATTGGTGAATTCTTTAATTAGGCATTTCCAGAGGAAGAGACTTTTCGGGGCCGGCCCCTTTTTAAGTTCGTCCAGTCCATTCCAGCTTTTTGTCCTTTCACATCTAAAAGCGGGAGACCCAACAACAACCATCTTCCTCGTGAAAACAGAGAGAAAGAGGAAGAAGAACAGGTCCCTGAGAACTATTCGAACATGAGGGAGATCATTAGCATTCATATCGGACAAGCTGGTATTCAGGTCGGAAATTCTTGTTGGGAGCTTTATTGTCTCGAACATGGTATCCAACCCGATGGCACCATGCCCAGGTCTTTATATTCATAGCTCTAGTTTATTATGACCATCTTTATTGTTTCTGGGTTCGAATCAAAATTCCCTTTTGAGAAATTTGTTCTTGTTATTTGTTATTGACATGGCTCTAATGATTTAGGGTAGTAATAAAACTTTGACAAGTTCAAGTTTTTAAATAATTGGGTTTTGTTTTGCAGTGATAGTACTGTGGGTGTATGTCATGATGCATTCAACACATTCTTTAGCGAGACAAGCTCAGGCCAACATGTTCCTCGGGCTGTGTTTCTTGATCTCGAACCAACCGTCATTGACGAAGTAAGAACCGGCACTTACAGACAGCTTTTCCATCCCGAGCAACTTATCTCTGGCAAAGAAGATGCAGCCAATAACTTTGCTAGAGGCCATTACACTGGTTATTAACATTTTCCACCTCTCTTGTTTTTTTTGTTATGAATTTTTCTTTGGCTTGCTAGATTGATCCACCTTTAGTGGCAACCGAATTTTAAACTGAAAACATATCTGCTTTCGTTTTGTCTAACGGTAATTAGCAAAACATTGTACTTCTTAATCATGTGTGTCTGAGTTTTGAGTTTTGTAGGTTATTCTAGAGAGTCTAGCAAAGCTAAGACAAATTTTAATCAAGTAATTGTGTGAGCTTTAATGCATTTTTTATTCGGTTTTTGTAAATTGTGTCATGTGTTTTCGTGGTAATACCGGGTACTTCATATCTAGATAATAGCTTCAGAAGTTAAATATAGATATCACTATGTATCAATTCATCTATAAGCTAACAAGTAGGGTATCAATGTGCACATGATTGCTTGCCATAGTAACAATGAACTCTGTCTTTTTTTCTTTGCTCAAAATGGCTCCATTTCATCCATTGCTTATGACGAGAAATGGCATATTTAACCATGACTGGTTCATCATCTGCTAATTTTCATGGTACTGAAATTTGTTCCATCGATGCAGTTGGAAGGGAAATTGTTGACACCTGCCTTGAAAGGCTGAGGAAATTGGCCGACAATTGCACAGGGTTACAAGGATTTTTGGTGTTCAATGCTGTTGGGGGTGGAACAGGTTCTGGTTTGGGTTCTTTACTGTTGGAGCGCTTGTCCGTAGATTTTGGAAAGAAATCTAAACTCGGTTTCACCATATACCCTTCTCCTCAGGTACTACCACAGATTTTGATTGGGTTTTACTGCAGAAATATATAGCGTTCGAACTCTTTTTTTTTTTGGTCTCAGGTTTCTACAGCAGTTGTAGAGCCATATAACAGTGTTCTCTCGACTCATTCTCTTCTCGAACACACAGATGTTGTTGTTCTTTTGGACAATGAAGCCATATACGATATCTGCAGGAGATCTTTAGACATTGAGAGGCCTACGTACACCAATCTGAACCGCTTGATCTCCCAAACCATCTCTTCGCTTACAACTTCTCTGAGATTTGACGGTGCCATCAACGTGGACATCACAGAGTTCCAGACCAACCTTGTACCTTACCCTCGGATCCACTTCATGCTCTCCTCTTATGCACCTGTGATTTCATCTGCAAAGGCCTACCATGAGCAGTTCTCGGTCCCTGAGATCACGACTTCTGTCTTTGAACCTTCCAATATGATGGCCAAATGTGACCCAAGGCATGGGAAGTACATGGCTTGCTGTTTGATGTATCGTGGTGACGTTGTGCCTAAGGATGTCAATACAGCCGTTGCTGCCATCAAAACCAAGCGAACAATTCAGTTTGTTGACTGGTACGAGCTCACACTAGTGTTTCTTTCTCTCTTAAGTCTTCTTCTACTACACATTTCAAATCTTTGGTCATGTTAAAATTAGGTGCCCAACTGGATTCAAGTGCGGAATAAACTACCAGCCGCCTTCAGTTGTTCCAGGTGGTGACCTGGCGAAGGTTCAACGAGCAGTTTGCATGATCAGCAACAATACTGCAGTGGCGGAAGTGTTCTCTCGCATAGACCACAAGTTTGATCTCATGTACTCCAAAAGAGCATTTGTCCATTGGTATGTAGGTGAAGGCATGGAAGAAGGAGAGTTCTCTGAGGCCCGTGAGGATCTTGCTGCTCTTGAGAAAGATTATGAGGAAGTTGGTGCAGAAGGAGCAGAGGATGACGACGAAGAAGGCGATGAGTATTAGAAAGACACAAGAGTGGTTTTCCATTGTTTCTTTCTTGTGACATACAGCAACTATGTCTATGTGAATGTGATCTCTACAGTTATTTTGTGATGTTTTACGGGTCTCTCCCCTTTTATTTCTCATTTGTGTTTGCTAATGGATTGCATTTATAGTGCATCTCAATACAAAGTTTGAAGGATTATTTCGTGGTTTATTTTGGCCCTTCAAATGTCTTCTACGCTCTATATAAGGCCATTACCGCAATGTGTCTTGAGAGAAGATGGTGATTATCAGAAGATGGTAGAGTTCAAATTTATCATCTTCAAAGACAAGAAATTTGCATCCAAGGAAGAGTAAAATGTGCAAAGAAAAACAAAAACAAAAAAATACAAAGGACGCAATTCAAACAAAGTTCCAGATCATACAAGAAAACCAAGATTTCCTGAATGTGAAAACCTGCTTTTCATAATGTTCCACCTCATTTCTTCTCACTACCATTCTCAAGCTCCTTCCTTAACTGACGCGAGAAGTCGTCATTGACATCATCATCATCCCAATCATCTTCCCACTGCTGGCTAACTTCCTTGACTTCTTCTTTCTCCAACCAATCTGCAAAACATGAAAAGATCCATTGATATTTACTTCCTTAAACTGTAAATCGACACCAAACACATCCATTCCACATCAGAACTACACAAGTCATACAATAGAGACCATCTTTATCAAATCTGTTAAAATCGGAAAAAATCTCATCAAGGAACAAGACATGGTGCAGAATCAAAAGGAACCCGTAAACCAAAATCATAATAATCGTAGCCTAGATTGAATTCTAGCGGACCCCAACTCTCCCCAAGCTACTCAATGCCCCAAATAGTTACCAAATCCACAATGACCGTTAGGTTTTAGCTCATGAAACATTGGCTACACATAATCACCAATCAGTTCCTGATAAAAACTGCTCCTTTATCCATATATTTTACCCGTTTTCGCATCAGAAGTACCCGATATATCTTTAACAATTCTTCCAATACAAGTGTTAGTTAAATCTTGAGACTCAAAACAGACTAGCAAAGCAGAATCTGATCAAGGAACAAGATACGGTGCAGAATCAAAACCAATCCAGAAACCATAATCAAAGAAATCGTAGCCTAGGTTCAATTTTAGAGGTTTATACCAAAACCTAATCACCAACGAAATTGTTCTTTATAACCTCGTAGCTTCATCGTTAAAACCATATAACAGATGATGAATCAATTCAAAAATCAAAGAAGCAACTAGTAACAACAAAAACTTCACCTTCGTTGATTTCAAATTCCTCGAACTCATCGTCGTCCTCAAACAGATCCATCTTTACCACTTCAGCAGTCGCCGCCTTCGGTTCTGTCGCCATAGGTTAAAGGAACCAACCGGATCGAGAAAACCTAAGAAGAAGAAGACGAAAACTCGATAAATTTTGCAAGTAATTATCGCAACCCTAACCTCTCTGAGAGCTTTAACGAGAGCGTTTTTGGTCGAAGAAGCCAGTAATTATGATTTTGCTTCCAAGCACAATTATCTATGTTGAATGGAAACTCTCTTCGAGGTCCGTTTCCCGTTTCCGAAACGTTTCGGAAACGGAAACACGAAAAACGTCACGGAAACGCGTTTCCTAAAAATCTATGTTTGAAAACACGATGGAAACTCACGTTTCTAAAATGGAAACGCGACAAATTTTTTTTTATTGACTTTGGAAACTTAATAAATGAAAGTTGAAAAGATTAAGATTTATAATACATATAACTAATTTTGGAAGACTCTGAGTTTTAAGATCTTTTTATCGACAAACTAGATTTGGAGGCATCTTTATATGATCTACGATGAAACTAATGAAAATGAGAATGAAAATGTTGGTCTAAATTAAATATTTGAACTTGAACCTGTTAATCTTTTTTCTTTTAGAATTTTAATTAGTTAACCTATTTAATATTTGATGTTTTGGACTTTATTGTTTAATTAAACCATTTTTTATAGTTTTATGTTAATGTTATATATATACATATATTATATGTGTATACGTTTCCAATCCCTAATTATAGAAAAAAATCGTTTCCCGTTTCCGAAACGTTTCGCTTCTACGTTTCCGTTTCCGTTTCCATGCAACATAGACAATTATAACATCTTGTATCGAACCGGTTAGACCGTGATTTCCTTTTCGTGACGAACCGGTTAGACCGTGTTTTCCTTTTTGTGAATTTGTAAAATTTGATGATTTTTGGAGATTATATAATGAGTGGTAAATTAATTATTTTTAGTACAGTATAGAATTTGAATCGCACCAGTGTCCGTTTCTGGTTGGGCAAATATGGGATAATCGCTACTCGACTTCACTTTTGACATGGATTTTCTGATTCATCTTGGATTCTACTTCTGAGAACATGAACAAAAAAATCATATATCTGTAAGAAAAAAATAGGCCCACAAAAACCTCACTAAGTTCAACAAATTCAATCTAACCTCAAAACATCATCCCTGACAAGAGAAACCAAAGGATCAACAAAACCAAAGAATAAGACGAACAAGAAAAGGAAGAGGCTGAGGAAGCCACAATCTGAATAGGGAAATTGCATTGTCCTTGAGATATATTCTGTGTGGTAATGGTGGCCAAACCTTGGAAGAAACAAGCACTTTCATCTTGATTCTTCACTTGAAAATACATGTTAAACGCATACGACGCATTCCCATTGGCATCAAGTGTATTGCACGAAGATCCATAACCAAGCGCTGTGCAATCCGAGAAAGTGCAGGCGAAATCTATGTTAGCCGCCAGTTTTGTCAAATCTTTGGCTTCTGGATTAAACGTACACCACTTGTTGGGTAGATACGGCACGTTTTGTGCACCAATCAACAACTTGTTCTGCCCTTGACCTGACAGATCTATAGGAAACTTTGGTTGCCCGTCGAATTTAAATATTCCCCAATGCCGTTCAAACGGTCCCGGTGCTATACTTTTCGCATCCTCATCGAGTAATCCGAACAAGTATACCTCAATGTAGGTCGGTCTCAATGGAGTGCCTTTGTTTGTTCCAAGCCTCGGTAAAAGCCCGTTGTAGAATCTGTAAGCATTGCCTGCGAAAAAACCGTTTTCAAAATCATAATTAAAACACTTCACGAAAGATAATGAATACATCTAAAGCATTGAAAATGTCAGATATCTACCGGAATTCGCGTGTTTGTCACCCTCGGTTGGCCAACCGACTTCTCCAACGATTATTGGCATATCGCCATGACCAACAGCTTTCAAAGACGACACCAAAGTGTCGAAATTGGCATCAAAAACATTTGTGTAATCAATACCGTTGTCATTTATCGGTTGAGCCCCATCGAAAAAGGCGTAATTGAGTGGGAAGTCATCATTCCCATAGAGACTTAAGAAAGGGTAGATGTTTATTGTGATGGGAGCATTGTTCTTGCCAAGAAAGTCAACAATTTGAGTCATTTGACCAATGATATCGGGACGGAATCTTCCTGCAGATGGAACAGGGTTGCTTGCTGGTGAATCGTATACATCCGCGTTTAAAGGGACTGTTGCTTTGACTGAGTTTCCTAGTCCAGCTTCATTTAGAGCGTTTTGAATGTTCGCAAGTGCAGGAAATGTGAGGTTAATGAACGATCCATTGTATGATTTGAGGAATGGCTCATTCCCAACAGCTACAAACCTGAAACACATCCACAAGAGATTAGCTTCACTAGTTTCACTGAGACATATAAACACATTGTTGTCTAAACATGTTCTCCATTTGACAGTACTTCTAAAAAACACATCCACAAGAGATTAGCTTCACTAGCTTTCATTAGTGTTCAAAGATTTACTTTTTTCAGATATTTGATTTCACAATCAGACAACACAGCTTTCACCAGACATTGAAATTCCTAAACAATCAATCTTCCGAAACACATAAATATATATATACACACACAAATTTTGTCTATTACTCTGCAATAGACATAACAACTCAAACACAAATTTTGCATTTGGCAATTTCATAAACTAAATAGTCATGGGTTTATGAGGTTTGGACAAACAAACACAAAGAATGTTAATTTGACGTTTAGACAACATTATAACCAAAGAGTAGTAACAATCAAACTGAGACATAAAAGAGAGGAAGAGAGAAACTCACGTGATATTGACACCACCATCGAAGTTATAACGAGTGACATTCTTACGAACCCAATCTTTGGCTCGGTCATAACTGGTCATAACCTTAAGCTGATCATTGGGAATAGCAACCATCACTTCAAGACCCGAGCCAGCGAGTGCACCCATGGTTGTCTCGTCTGCGTCAAAAAGCTTAACCTTGTTGATGTTATTGTCCTTAAGCATCTGAACCACTGTCTTTGGAGGCAGCTTATGTGTAGCCATTGTTCCCCAATTCACACCCAACCCATTTACCAAAATACCCAAATAACCAATTACGATTACGAATCCGACGACGATGGCTAACAGATTTGACATCGATCTTCACCTGAGAAAGATTAAAAGGTGAGATTTTTACCCGAAATTCTAAAATCTCAGTTTGACAAAATCCAACATTTGGGAAATGAGAAACTTTTAGAGGACCCATTACCTCCTCCTTAGATATGGAAACTGATAAAAACGCGTACAGAGAGAAGAAGAAACGCGTGGAGACTGTAGAGAAACCTAAAAAGGTAAACTTTTTGTTTTTGGGAAACTAAAAGAGAGATAAAAGTTGGAGATATTTTTGGTTGAATTGTGAATAAATGAATGATGAGTTTTAATAGAATAATGACGTTGTGGGTGGATTTATAACGGCTCTATTTCTCCGGAGAGAACATGGGCCAATGCTCGTTCAGTCTTTGTCATCCAACTAGTAATAAACAAATTATTTCATGGGACATACGGTTACCGACATAAAATTTTAATGCATCTTTGATCTAATTCCTTGTGATGAAATATTTTATAATTAGGCGTGTATGATATGATCCAACCCAAACTCATCCAAAACAAGGTTTGAAAACCAATCTAGATCATATTTTGGTTTAATCGGTTAAGTGTTTCTACATTAGAAAAACGAATTTCGATAGAACCTTAGACTTACACATTTTATTAAAAGTTTAAAACCCTTTGAATCAAGAGTACCTTTATATAAAAAAACAGAACCTGAACTAAAACAAAACTCATCATCTGAGAAGGTTCTGAAACTACATTTTGTTTCACTTTGGTAGATATCATATACTTTGATAGATATACTTTGCTAACCCGAATGGTCTAAACCAAATACCTTTTGTTAACAGCAACACAAATGTGCTTAGAAAGCTGAATAAAGATATACCTTTTTCTGTTGTTCTTCAAATAATCATATAAAACTCAAATTTTAAAAAAAAAATTTTACCAAAAATTCAATCAGAATAGAAAATTTTTATCGATATAGTGACAAGTTCGCCCAATGACTACTAATATCATGGACATTATCCTACAAAATTACCAAATTTTACAATGTTCGTATGCTGATTTCAGAATAAAAATTTGGTTCCACACAAGGTTCAAATCCCATAACGTCTTATTTGAGAAAGAAAACACACCCACAAGTGCCAAAAGTCTATGTAATGTGAGTATAGTTACTGGCTAAAAAGGCCTAAAGAAAAATATCAAATCTTATCACAATACAAAAATTGTTTGAAGAGACAAAGTTTCTAGAACGTATATTAACATCTTAATATATCTTTTACAGCTCAAAATCATAGACCAATGACAAAAAGTCTCGTCTCTAAGTTCATAGGAAAATAAATAAGAATGCATGCAAAGAAACAAATGACAGGGTAAAACATATATTTCAAAGGATTGTAGTGAACCATTAATTACATCGTATGTAACATTTGTGATACTCAAAAATAGGACAGTTGGATGAGACTTGATCCGAAAATGGGTTTGAAGTAACTTCGTGTTAGGCCTAATATTCATTAAAAATGCTTTTGCACTTTAATTAGCCCTTAGAAAACACATTTTCTTGGACCATCTTAATAAAACAAAACTAAACAATGAATCCATTATTATGATAACATTGTGAATAGATAACTCTTACATTGTGAGTACTGAGTAATCCACTACTACCACTCTAATCGATAATAAATTATGAAATAAAAATGGTAAGTGTGTTAATAAATGAATTTTTTTTGTAAAAATGAATAGAAATTATTTACATACATAATATAAGGTCTATTTTGTCATGTATATAATGAAGACATTAACACTACAATAAGAAATAAAATAAAATAAAATATATATACTTTAGTTATTTTTAATATCTCTAGCTACAATTCAATTTAAATGATAAGAGTAAAATGAAATTTTCAAAAAACAAGCATGAAATAAAACAAGAATAATTGAAACACAAATTATTTTATTATAATTTTTATTTTATAATTTTCTTAAATAATTTTCAATTATTACGTTATTATTTGTTGTTATTTGACCATATAATGTTTTAGTTATATAGTCAAAATTTTCTTCTACTACTCAAAATCTTAAATATTTAGTTAAATTCTTCTTAAAACACAAATAATTAGACAGATTTTACCGTTATCACTTAGAGCATATGCAATGAGAGTTTCTCACCAAAGTCTCTCACATATAAAAGTAATAATAAAATAATAAATACTATTATTTAATTATGAGAGTCTCTCGAAAAAGTGGTGAGGGTCTCTCAAATGAGAGACTTTAGGAAACTCTCTCCACATTTTTAGAGACTCTCATAATTAAATAATATTATTTATTAGTTTATTATTATTTTTGTATGTGAGAGACTTTGGTGAGAGACTCGTCAATGCATTATTCACATGCTTTTTGACTCTCGTATTTTATATTTTGTTTATGATTTGCATGATGACGTTTTTGTAAAAAATACTAGATTATTATGAACACGATATTAATTAATAAAATATATTAGTTCAGAGTCCTAATTAGCAACAAAATATACATATAATGTGAAATAAAATTTTAAATAAAATAAATATCTAGGTGGAAGCTAGTCAGATTTTTATATAGGTGAATATAAATGGGTGATGAACTGATGATAAAAAGGGAGGACGACAAGACAAAGGATAAAATTGAATGGTAATTAATGGCAAACGGGAAAAAGGATAAAGCAGTGCATCCGAGGCTCCGGACCATCCGTTTTCTAAAAAGTAGTAAGATGAATTTTATTTTATATTTTAAATCTTAGTTAGTCAGAAAATTTGAAGACCAATCAAAACAAAAGAACATGAATCAGTGAACCAATGAATCATGGTTACGTATTATGTGGTGATAACGATAAGGACCCAAGACAACTTCTTATGATCAGAAAATGATAATTTGATAAACTCGTCCACAAAAAAAAAAAAAAAAACCTCGTTTATAATAAAGCTTGACAATTCTGATTAACTTTCGTTGGTGGCTCAGCCCACTACAAACTTCATTTGTCTTATCTTTTCTTCTCCTTACTCTCCATCAATGGCTTCTCTTATCTCTTTCTCTTTGCTCCCAAAACCAAAAGCCGTAAGAAGTTCAATTTCAGCTCCTCAGACACAGACAATAATTGAGAGGCTTGAAGATAAATTCGGACGAAAAGGCATAAAATTCTCGGAATCAAACAACATTCCTATGGTAGAGCTTAAGGTGAGAAATGGAAGTTCATTAAAACTGAGTCTATCAGATGCTCATGTGGTTTCATATAAGCCAAAGGTATACTGGAAAGACGAGGGATTCGAGGAAGTCCTTTACACAGTTGATGGTGATGAGAGCAGAGGTGGGGTTGGTCTTGTTATCGTAAACGGGGAAGAACCTAATGGACCAAAAGGAGTGTCTTCAGTAATCTCAGGATATGATTGGAGTGTCAAGGATACTGATTCAGACGCCATTGATGCTCTTCAGGTGATTGATTCAATACCTCAATATGTCAAATATTGTCCACACAATGATGAAATCTTTGTGAACGTTCTCAGATCGAACTTAGCTGTACGGCCGGGGTTCTCGACATAACGTATATCGTCTCTCTCTATCCAGTAAGCATGGCTACAGCTCTGGTGGTGAAGAACAATGGTCGCAAACCAGTTACCCTTAAACCGGGGATTATGAGTTACTTGAGGTTCAAGAAACGGAGTGGGGCAGGAATTCAAGGACTAAAGGGATGCTCTTATTGCCCTAACCCGCCTTTGTCATCGCCTTTTGAGCTCTTGTCTCCTTCCGAGGCAATGAAGGCGGACTCTTCCGGGTGGTTTGGGTCGGACGAAGGGGAAAAGCCGGGGATTTGGGCAGTAGAAGATTCTGTTATTACACTTCTTGAGAAAAAGATGAGTAGAGTATATGGTGCTCCTCCGGCTGAGAGATTAAAGGCAGTCTATAACACTCCACCTTCAAAATTTGAAACTATAGATCAGGTAAATCTATGCCAATTTATATTCTCTATGATATATATCATGGTACCATTCGTTTCTGCACTTGGATGCAAAACTTTATATAGTTTGGATGCGAAAAAAAAAATACCAAAAGAAATTTCCAAACTAAAATATATATTTTGAATAAATCATACATTTGTGTAAATTAGTAATTTCCAAAATTTATGAATCGCATCTTGACACAAAATATCAGAATTTCGTTTTGACTCTAGCGGAATTCTGTTTTCTCGCCAAAATTGGTCCAAAAATTGTAGAACTCTATACTGGTGCTGAAACTGTAAAATTTCGCTTTAGTGTTAAAATTATGGAATAAGGTTTTAACGCTATCAATGTAAAATGGCATTTTTATAATTTAAGTCATCAATATCATAATTTTCATAACTTTTTCAGATTTTCTAGCAAACTCAAAAAGAAAAAGAAGCAAAAAACAACTGTGTATCCAAATACAACATCAAGATGCAAAAATTTATTTTGGTAGATATTGAATCTTGATATAGAGTCTCAATGTGGATAACATGTTACTTTTATGTTTTTTTTTTTTATCTACGATGTCTTACAAAACTTTAATTATCTTATATACAATTTTCTATCTCAGTTTATTGCTTAAGGGAGATTTTCTAACGCTAAATATGAACTCAATAGAATCTGATGAGTTTGGAATTTGGATTTTGCAGGGAAGAGGATTGTTTTTCAGGATGATAAGGATAGGGTTCGAAGAGATGTATGTGGGATCCCCAGGATCGATGTGGGACAAGTATGGGAAGCAACATTACTTCGTGTGCACAGGTCCAACGTCAATGCTCGTTCCTGTCGATGTGGCTTCCGGAGAGACATGGAGAGGAGCAATGGTAATCGAGCATGATAATTTGTAAATTTCATTAACTATAGTTCTGTATTCTTCATTTTTTTCTCTATTTTTGTTGCCATTTTTTCTTCTACATTAGTAAAACAAAATTGATGTCGTCATTTCTTTTTGTCTCAGAAAATATATGAGTTGCAAATATTTATTTTATTGTTTTTATAACGTAAATTTTAAGTAAGTACGAAAAGATTTGTGATATTGCACATACTAAATAACTTAGAAGACATTGATCTGTTACAGTTTTTACCTTTTTCACTCTTATTTTAATGTTTAGGAAAATTGGACATAAATGATGTCTACTTAAAAATTTATCCATATATCCTCTTTTTTTTGTAGATTGGTCAAATAGGTTTTTTTAAAATCAAAACCCAACTTTACCCTCATTTTCTCTCAAAATTAATTTAAAAAATAAAACTTCATAATTGATTTTAAAAATTAAAATAGAAATAGAAAATTCACAAAACCTCCAAATGAATAAGAGTCTTTCATAAGACCTAATAAAAGACTTTTTCCCATTCTTTTTATTACATCTGAACGTGTTTTAGAAATATTTTTACCAATGCAAACTCTAAGCTCTGTCTCACTTTTTGTTTGATTTAGAAATTCTCAGCTATGTCTCAATTGGTGCATGTGTAAATTGTTTCCCATATCTCTTATTGATCTATTTAGTTTACTATTTTTGTGTGTGTGTGTGTCATGAGTAGCTCAAGTAGGTGTCTTGTTTACATATTTAGTTATAGGTTTTGTCTCTTGTAAATCTTCTTCATCTAATTAAGTCAATTGTAAATCTTTTTCAGCTAAAGACATCCACATATCGTCATTGGAAATATTTTTTATGTCTTAATTCATGTTTCAATCTTCATTCAAGTTTGTTTCTGCATGTTGAAGACTGTTTTTGTGTTTTCCTAATTCTTGTGTGTGTGTTTGTACTTTTTCTTGTTTTTAATTGAATCTCCTCTTTATATTGTGGCTCATATTCTTAACATGAAATCAGACCACAAGTTTATGAAATTAGAATTCTTTTGTGATTCTTCTTAAGCTGTTTAGATATTTTTTCTATTATTTTGGTTTGAAAGAGTAGTCACTGGGGATGAATTTCAAGTTTGGTTTCAATTTTAGTTTACATGACACTGAAGTAAAGTCCAGTAAACTGTAATTTGATTTGAAACTCTCAGCTCTTAGGGTTTAGAAACGTTTTAGGTTTTTATCTTTGTCTAAAAAACGTAGACAACAACTTCTACATCTTGTAGATCGTAATCTATATATAATAGCAATCTAATAAATACCATTTGCACATCTGAACGGTTGCGTCTTTTTATCGCAACCTTTCGTTTAAATCGGTTATTTTTTTACGGTTATTTTGGTTGCGTCTTTTTATCGTAATTTTCGTTATAATCGGTTATTTTTTTACGGTTATATCGTTTCCAATAAATACCATTTGTACATCTGAACGGTTGTGTCTTTTTATTGCAACATTTCGTTTAAATATTTATGGTTGTTTTTCTTACAGTTATTTTTGTACGGTCATGTTGTTTTATTGAATTTCTTTTTACGTAAACCAATAAACTACATATAAAATTGGTTTATTTCATAGTTTACATATGGATATATTTTTAATTTTTAAACTAAAATTTATATTTTACGGGTATGTTTTTTAGAAAATTGCAATCCGAATATCTTCAGCGGTTGCTTCTTTTTATTGTACCTCTTCATAAACAGTTGCAACCTTTTATTCGAATTATTGCAATATTTAGTTTATTTCACGAACAATTGCAACCTTTAGTTTATATCACAAACAATTGTAACCTTTGATTTATATATTTAGTTTATTTCACAAACGATTGCAACCTTTGATTTATATATTTTTTTTTGTTTTTCACGAACAATTGCAACCTTTGGTTTATTTTACAAATTGCTATAACATCTAATTATCTACCGTCGCATCTCTCGGTATAATTTTCATAAATTAATATTTTTAATTTTTAATTACCAAAATGCATTTAAATGAGATTGTAATCGTTTAATTGAACCGTTGAAACATTTGGTTTATTTGACCAATCATTGCAATTTTTGGTTTTGTTTTACGAACCATTGTAATCTTTAGTTTATTTGACGAACTTGACGAACCGCTACAACTTTTGATATATCGCAACATTTCATTTATTTCTTTTTAAACTAAAAAAATTATTTTACGTTATGTTTTTTGAGAAAGTTGCAATCCGAGTAAATATTTTTTATGCTTGCATCTTTTTATCGTAATTTTTCATAAAATGATTGCAGCCGTTTAGTTGAACCATTGCAACATTTAGTTTATTTCACGAAAAATTGCAATTTTAAGTTTATTTTATAAATCGTTATAACATTTAATCATCTACCATCGTTATTATTAATTTTCGTTTGATATTTTCTTTAACGATTTTTGAAATATTTTCCCCCGCGACATCGCGGGGGTCCGGAGTCCTAGTCTAAACAATAAATATCCATTTAAATCGTAATCTAAAAAAAAAATTGTTTCATTTTCTGAAGATTTACTTTCTATATTTAAAACATTCTAAAAATTACAGAAAACGAAATCTACAATACCGTAGAATTTACATTCTAAACGAAGATTATAATTTCTAACGATGGCAGAAGATGTAGAAATTATTAGAACGGCTATTCAAAAAAATTTAGAACATAGAGCAAAAGTAGAATGCATGTTCTAAATATTTTAGATATATGATTTTCGGATTTTTAAAATTTTCAGAACATAAATGTAGTCTGAAATATGTAGAACATGTATAAAAAAGCATAATACACACTCTGAACTCTAGAAAACGTGTTCTACCAAAATTAGATGAAACTTTATCTATCAAAAAATCAAAATTTTTTAAATCAAATCTAAATTTTTTACTTCAAATCACCTCTATTCTTGTATATCTACCTGTTTTTATGATTATTTTTTAAAAAAACATGTAAATTATGGTGTAGGGGTAAAATCGTCCAAACTGACAATCTCACAAAAAAGGTATATATAGACAAATTTTTAAGTAGATATCCTTTATTTCCAATTTTCCCATAATGTTTTCTTTGCTTTATCGAATTTTTTTTATTTTCTATTAAGTCATGTTAAGTAGTAGAACGAAAAAATAATAGAGTTTTTTGAGGAAAACTGAAAAAAAAAGATTACAGCAAAATAATACTGTTGATCGAAAGTCCCCTCTAGAATCGATCGACAACCCCTTCAAAGGCAAGATGAGACAACACTGCCATTGAAAAAATTGATCGACAACCTTATATGCATTAATCGACACCTCTGTTTGTGTTGATCGACAACCTTTCCGCAAAAAGGCAAAAAGAGAAAAAGTTTTGAATTTTTCGCTTTGCCTCGGAGACTTCTTACCTAAAACTGACATACGCTTGGTCTGGTGGTAACAAATGGGTTATATAACATTAATAGCGTTAATACGATCAAAACTCTATCTTTCTCGTACAATTTCTTTCATCTCTGCATCTTTACCCAAATCATTCTCCACTTTTGCAACTAATCTACTTCACAACCACGAAAAAGACGAATCCTTCGTTATAGCTGTCGTCTCGTCTCATCAAATATCACTATCGCAAAAAAAATTCTAACTCCAACAACGACGTCTTAAATCATATATTAACTCTCTCTGCTCTCTTCTTCGATCTCTCCCAATTCGAGGCTTCTCTAATCTCACCTTCCATCATGCGATGAAGAGGTTAGGGTTGAATGTATGACAACGGCCGTTAAATCGGAGGTTTGGATTTACCAACAATTCAAAGACTCTCGTACTTTATATTTTGTTTTTGATTTGCATGATGATGTGTTTTAAAAAAAACAATTATTATGAACACGATATTAATTAACAAAATACATTAGTCAGAATCCTAATTAGCAACAAAATACACAAATAATGTGAAAACAAGCATCTAGTTGGGAGCTTAGTCGGACTTTTTTTATAGTATAAGATCAACTTTTAATGGTGAATAAATGGGTGATGATAAAAAGAGAGGACGAGAAGGCAAATGATAAAATGAATGGTAATTTACGGCAAATGGGAAAAAGGATAAAGGAGTACATCCGAGGCTCCGGACCATCCGTTTTCTAAAGTAGTAATAAGAATTTATTTATTTATGTATTTCATATTTAAAGTATTAGTTATTCAGAAAATTTGACGACCAATCAACAGAAAAGAACATGAATCATTGAACCAATGGATAGCATGGAACTAGCTAGAAGCCTAGATCCATAGGTTATGATATCAAATCCAGAATCATGGTTACGTATTCTGTGGTGATAACCGATAAGGACCCAAGACAACTTTCTTATGATCAGTAAGTGATAATTTGATAAGCTCGTAAACAAAAAACTCGTTTATAATAAAACTTGACAATTCTGATTAATTTTCGTTGGTGATTAACGTTTCTAAGTTCTAACGTTCTTTTACCAAAAAAAAACATTCTAACGTTCCTTTTATCAAAACAAAACATACTATCGTACAAGAAATTAATTTTTTTTTTCTTTCTTAACATTTAAAATTTCTCAAGAGCCGTTCAAATACAGATTTTATTTCCAAAGTTTAATTTTGATACCAAACGTTCACTTTAATTAAAAACACATATACTGATCATGTTATTGTTAAAATTTCAACACTATCTGTCCACAACAGAGTGATTAACAAAGAAAAGTAAAAAAAAAAAATAAGACGAAAAATACAGAAAGATGCGTCCAACATGTTTGGTGCCCGAACTCTTGTCTTCACCACATTAAAACTGACTCATTTGGGACCACTCAATTCTCCAATCAAACAGTCAGGGTCGGTGTAGGAGTCGAGCTCCGGCTTGTAGGCTCCACTCTTCCAGCCATATGACCCCAAGGTTTAGTCGACACGTCGTCTTCGTCATTGTATGCGTAAGCAAATCCTCCATGACGGGTCATGTCCATTCCAGCCATCTCATCTTCTGCTGATATCCTCAAAAGATTCATCTTATGTAACCCATAAAACAATGGTCCCATCGTCACCGTTACCCACCCAGCGATCACAATGATCTGAACGATTTGCGCGGCTAGCAGTTTTCCTCCCCCGCCCATCAACAGTCCGTAAGGCCTATCGCCGGAGTAAACCTCGTTGACGTATTGTTTGCTTGCGAACAGCCCGGTAAAGATCAACCCCCATGCTCCACATCCACCGTGGAGCTGAGCAGCCTCAAGTGGGTCATCGTATTTAAGTTTCTTGGCAAGCAAGTTAAATCCGATTAAAACCCATGATGCCACGAAGCCACATACTATAGCAGCCCACGGCTCCACCACGGCACATCCGGAGGTTATAGCTGCGAAGCCGCCTAGTAATCCGTTGCACACGTCAATGACGTTCCAGTGGCCTGCTAAGAGTCGTTTACTAAATAGAGTGGTCAACGCAGCGGTGCAGCCAGAAAGCGTTGTTGTGACGGCCGTGCGACCTACAGCGCTCCATTGACCATAATATGGCCGAGACTTGTCGTAGCCTTTTAGAATAGTTAAAAAGGAACCAGGGTTAAACCCGTACCATCCAAACCACAACAAGAAGGTACCAAGGACGACAAGGGACGCACTGTGACCACGTAAAGCCACGGACCGGCCTGACCGGTCAAATCTACCTATTCGTGGTCCTTCAACTAACGCTCCCCATAAACCGGCAATTCCACCTACCATGTGAACAACTCCTGAACCTGCGAAATCAATAGCACCTGACCCAAACAAGAGATTGTTGTCAGACCGGGACGCGCTGGCCCAACCATCACTCGACCAGAACCAGTGCGAGACGGTCGGGTAAACAAAACCAGTCAAGAATGTAGAGTAGATAAGGTAAGCAACGAATTGGGTTCGCTCGGCGATGGAGCCGCTGGTGATTCCTGCCGCGGCTATGGCAAAAGCCCATTGGTAGAGGAAAAAGCTGAAGTCGGAGCCGGAGCGTTCAGGGTAAGAGCTTAAGGCGAAGAAGCTATGGTGGCGGCCAATGAAGCCGTTGGAAGGTGTACCAAAGGCGAATGCGAATCCGAAGAGGTAGTAAGAGATGGCTCCAGCAGCAGCGTCAAGGACATTAGTAAGCATGATGTTCATAGTGTTCTTGGCTCGGACTGAGCCGGCACAAAGCATGGCGAAACCAAGTTGCATAGCAAAGACGAGGTAGGCGGAGAAGAGGAGATACGTGTTGTCGACGGCAAAAGTTGTGTCGGAGAGTTTGTTGGAAATGTTTGAAATTTGGGAGCATAAAAAGGTTGCCGCAGAGAGGGAAGAAGTTGAGTTAGAAGAAGAGGATAGGAGGGCAGCTAGATCTACGGCGGAGCATGTGGTGGTTGCGGTGTCCATGGTGGAGAGGGAGGGGGAGAGAGAGGGTAATTGATTGTATAATGTGTTTGCTTGAGTGAGTACTTGTGGTGGGAGTGTCTTTGGTGTATTTAAATTGGAAAAATTCCATTTTTAATATTTATTTTGTTACATCACAAAAAAGTAGCGGTACTACTTATTACTCTTCTTCGTCTAGTTGAGGTTTAATAAAGGTTTTATTAATTTTAAAATTCTATGTCTCAGGTTTCGGTTTGGATTTTGAAAAAAATAAAAAGATAAAATACAGACGTTAGATCTATATTTATGTTGGAATTTTTCAGGTTTTAGATTTTTAAACAGTAGTAATCAAACTAAACTAAAATTAATATGATTGTTTTGGTATAGTAGTTTTGTTTTAGTTTCCATTCAATTTTAAATCGATCATATTATTATTTTAAAGATATTTAAGTCTTCAAAAAGATTTTCAATCGGTTTTGTTTGCATTTAGTTTTGGTTTTGTTACGGATACAAAGAAAAAAATAATAATCTTATAAGATTTGGTTTAGTGTTTGATTTGTTTGTTTTAGTTTAATAAGGATTCGGGTCAGCATTTCTTTATCAGACTCAGTTAATTAAACATCGCTACATAGAAGTACGACGTTCAAGAACAAGTTAAAGAAGATGACGATATGATTCTTTTAAATGAATTTATATCTCTTTTTCCAACTCTATATTTTAACTGATCTAGTTAATGTTCTTAATCTAAAAATCGTCATTGGTTCTATATATGTATATAGATATGGGGCAATATTAGGCAAACATACTAGTATTTTTCAAATTGGAAAAAAAACATAATTATAGTTATATTTAGGGAAATTTGCAACTATAACCTAAAAAAATTTATAAATTAACAAACTAACCTATAAAAAAAACCTAACAATATAACATATATATAATATATATTATTACAATTTTATCCTCACCACTAACACCACTAACCACCATCACAACCACCACCGTCGCCGGACAACCACCGCCGCCGTCGCCGGAACGACCACCGCCGTCGCCGGAATCACCACCGCCGCCGTGCCGGAACCACCACCGTCACCGGAACTACCATCACCGCCGCCGCCGGAACTACCACCACCGCCGCCGCCGGAACTACCACCACCGCCGTCGCCGGAATCACCGCCGCCGTCGTCGCCGGAATCACCACCGCCGCCGTCGCCGGAACCACCACCACCCTCTAAGGTCATTTTATCTACCCTTTAAGTTACTTACTTAATAATTACATATATAGTGCTATATTCTTAATTTTTGTATGAAAAAGTGTTATTCTTGCAAATCACCCTTATATTTATAGTGTTATCATCAAAAGAAAAAAAAAAATACATAGGTATACATAGTGTTATCGTAAAGGTTTTCTACAAGTGGACAAATAAATATATTCTCTCGGTCCAAAAACATAAGTATATTTTCTATATATTGAAAAAAATCATTCCGGACACAGAAGAAAAAAAAAATTAGAATATCCACCTCATTTAGTTATTGACTGTAAATTAATTATATAAAAAAACACGTAAATACTTTTAATGATATATCTACTAAGAAAAATACTTAATTTCTTATTATTATTTTTTATATCAACCTTTAAGAAATACCATTTTTTGTTTTAAACTTGTTTCCACTACAAACAAGATTTGTAGTGAATATAATAGGAAAAAGATAGCAGTATCTGTTTGTTCAAAAATAGTATACATTATATTGGTGAATAGTATAAATTACCAAATATAATGCTCGTAAAATATATCTTATGTCACCTTTGCAGCTTTACTTATTATTAAATCAAAGGAAGGACTCGATCAGCCAAACCGGGCAAAAAGAAGCTAACAAAGGAGAAATCGATTGAAAAATACATTTTGTTTGTATCGACGAAGTCAATAGATATATAGAATCATGAATGATGTATCATCTAGATGAATGTGATATAGGGGGCAAGGACGATCTCTCAAATAGTTATAACATTATCACGCTAGATTAAATATATAAATTCTTTTCAACTTGACTACAACTACTTCTCAACTGAATTAAATTACTACGTAATTCGACTGAAATAAGTTATATATATCTGAACATTATTGATGCTGTGTAATTGTTGACGCTATTTTTTTTTTCTTTCTAATTAATCACACAAATGTGTTGTAAGTCAATCTGTTGTAGTACTTGAAGTATCGATTTCACATAGAATTTTCTATTGCACTACGTATTAGAGAAAAAGCTGTTTAAGCTACAAACTATAGGGTTCAATTTGGTGATTGCAGGAAAAATAAATATGCAACAAAGTAAAAGATGAACAGATTCGATAATTAAATGGTATTAGGTTTTCACGGTGTGATAGTAGGAAATCACGCAACAAAGAAATAAACAAAATGAATGGACCATTTTACGTCTCTTTGCAACTTTTTTTTACCAAAATAACCAGAAATGATTCTAAAAAATACAAACAGTGAAAAATGCTTTTAAACTACGTTAAATGCTTATTAAAACTTTATGAAAACAATGGTAAAAATGGGTAAAAATAGAGAGTTACCAGCAAGATCCGATCCAAAAACTAATTGTTACTATGCGGGATAATGCGATTTGCTAGAGTCAAAATATTATAAAAAACTGCCGTAAAAGTGAACCGCTAACCACTTGATTAAATACACTTTCCTAAATAAACAATATAACTTTGACGGTCATGATTATAGTTGTTGGGATGAATTTTGATTCACGATATTCACCATCAAATCCATCATGAATCTGGCTCAATTAGAAAAGGCTCAAGACCCAAATTGATCTTGAGGACAAAGACGGAGCTAGGCGAGACGCTCCATAAGCAAGGAGCTGTCACATCACAGAGCCTAGCTTCCGCTAAGCACTTAATGTGTCAACATACTTCATGAACCACATTTAATGCTAAAGGACGGGTTGCTCACTAGCCAAGTTTTTGACCAACATACCACTTGTTCAAGCATGTGTGGCATGCCAAAAATTAGTCACCATACTTTGTTAGGTCGTGATGATGGTCTCTATTGTACTTCATCCAACATTGAGGCGGGTCGATCCGTGTTTCACCCCTACAATGATTCAAACCATGTAGTCTTTATAAATAAAACCATCTCATTATTAATGCCGGGTTCGAAAAATAATAGTACTTGATAATTTATGTCATTTTACACAAGAAGATCTAATCCTCGTAGCTTCCAAGAATTTTCTTTTCTGCTCCTCGAAGATAATCGTTTCTTTCATCCTTTAAACTTACCAAAGGTTCATACTCCCTCCGTATTTTAATAATTGTCGTTTTAGAATTTTTATTTTTTTGAATTGGAAGTCGTTTTCAAATTTCTATGCAAAAGTTATTACTTTTTAATGTTTTATGACATCATAAAACATTAAAAAGTAAGAAATTTTGCATTGAAATTTGAAAACGACATCTAATTTTAAAAAAAGAAAATCCTAAAACGACACTTATTAAAATACGGAGGGAGTACTAATTAACATATTCTTTGAAAACCCAAAAATACTTTTTGACTAAAAGACAATTAATTCTCTGTCTAGCCATGTAGTTTATCTATAAACTGAGCGTTAGAAAACCATTAATTGAAAGAATAATATTTGTCATCCAGAGAGTACTTGTCTGGTATTGTTTCATGCCTCTTTTGCTCCCTAGAGTTTGAACTTGATCTCTGGATTGTTTTGGATCCTAAGACTAAACAAGTCATTGCTCTCTGAAAGTCATTGTTTCTGAAATCTTACTTTTGTAACTTATATGTATAAGTTAAAACGAAAAGAAGTTTTCAAAGTCAAAGTTTTCTATATGCCTTTGACTTTGAAAACTTCTTTTCTTTCCTGACTTTGTATGTTACTCTGATTTTTAATACTACTACATATGATGATGACAACAAAAGAAAAAGAAAAAACTATATTGCTTTTCTCCATTACTTTTTGCATCTCAACTTATATGGGTTTTCAATTGAGTTTATATGATTATATTGGTTAATCAATCTATTTAATCCTACGTTTGGTGCAGATCTATATATACATTTTTGGTGAAGATTTGGCCTCAAAAATCCTTTTACAATTTCAATATTGTACATTTAGTCCTTACAAATAAAATCTGACAAAATATTTGTCTTAATGAAATTTACAAATCAATTAATAAACTCTTCTAACAATTCCTATTTTTTTAAAAACGAGATTTGAGATCCTAATATATGGAAGTCAAATATTCGAAATTAAATACTATTAATAATCATAATCTCGATCATATCTACTAAAATATAAACTACTAAAAAATACTAATCGTGATCAAATCTTAATTACCATTGCCATTTATGCTTCTTCCAATTATGGCCGATGATATTCAAGTCCATATATTCAACATATCTCAACAAGTTGGTTTTCTTAACAAATTATTCCACATTCCATGTTTCAACAGAAATATCTTACCATATTATCTTACCTCAATTCATATCCCGAGAATTACTCTACATATTTGATTATCCCTACAATAAGATCTTCGATTTTGGCTTTATTATTCCTACAAAAAAGGAAAACGAAATTAATAGATTGATTTTCGAAAGATATTTATAACTAGCAAATCTTTGTTTATTCAAATGGTTTCCTATTAAATTGTTAAAGAATTTTTTGCAAATCACATTTGTTTCCTAAATAAAATGAACTATATAAATTCGATATTCAATCCAACTAAAAGATTTGGAAATATCTCATAACTAATCGATTTTATCCTTATTTGGTTAAATATCTATTTAGCATATTCTTTATCTATGACGATTTAAAGATTTCCAAAGATATCATATATTTGCTCTATTCACTACACCAAAACCCTACACCTACTCAAAACAATATAAATACAACCTTATTCACAACATCTAATCTCACCAAACACGATAAAAGGTTATTATTTGCTCCTTTATATTAACATTACTTATTATGGTTTATTTGTTTCATCTCTAATAGCTTTTGTTTTTCTTATTTAGCTTATAGTGTTAAGATCCGTACGTTAGGTGAATCACCACGTGCTTGGTGAATG